CTCTGGCAGCTTCTGGTAGTCCGGTTTGAATACTGTCCAGTGCTGCCAGCATTTCTGTCTGTCTGCAAATAACTGCTGGACTTTGAATGGTGACTGAACTGTCCTGAGGGACGTGGAGCTACCTGTGCTGCAGGTGAATCGGGGCAGGGGCTGCCTCCCCTTGCCATACTTGCCTGCAGGGATGAAGTGAGGCTTGCCCCAGCACCAGGCTGTGCAGGACTGACCAGTGGAGAGCGAGAGCACTTTGGCTGTTTGTGTTCAACCAGCATGAGTTTTGTGTAGATGATCCCAAAAATCAAAGCTATATGTAGATCCCATATAACAAACAGCATTTATCTCAGATGCTTTATTTGCATACTCTTTTATTTCTGCAAGCTTTCCAATGGCAGAAGCAGCTGTCCGTGCCCAGAGTGCGGAGCAGTTGCCTCCAGCTCTTTCTGCTGAGAGATGCTGCATTTAAGGGGGTGAGGGGGAGAACAACCCAAACATTATATTTAGTATTTTGGCTTACTTCATGTTTCTCATCCTAATCAAATTGTGTTGTTTTATGGGAATAAAATGTGGTTTTGATGATCAGAAGTAGGTCATCCTGACTGCCTGGGAAGGGCAGGTTGTAAAATAGCTGCCTTCTCCAGGAGGTTGCTGAGGGTCCAGCTTCTGCTCCTGGTTGTGTCTCCTCTGGCTGCCCAGAGCTGCCTGATTCTGTCGGCTACTTCCTGGGCGCTCAAGCTGCACGTTTTGAGTGCAAGAAGAAATTTACAGGTTGCTTTTTGCCTTTCCCTTTTGATATGGCTTGATGCTTGTGCCGGCTCCTTGGGAAGCCCCTGGCTGGCTGCCTGCACTAGTTCAGATGCTGCTTCTGAGCTGCGACGTTGTCGTCTGGCATCTTCTCTGAATTGGCACACACACACCCCTGCCCTTAATCTTAATTTCTTTTTATCAGCAGTCCCTTGCGGGAAGTAACAGCTGTCTCTTTTGATGGATGCATTTCATTTTCAGCCTTTCTCTGTGTATGTCCACTACAACACATCTGCTACATGTGTATAGCCTTTAACTTTCACAGCTTGTAGCTTAGCACTCTGTTTCTTAATGCTTTTGCACATAATGCATTGACCAGAAGGGGCTGTATTTAGAGTGTTCTGATGAAACAATAAATGCTAGAATCCCTGTTGCAATCTTCACCCCATCTTACAGTCTAAATGGGTTGCTCAGGTGTGTCGTGTTGTCTTGTTCTCGATCGAATAAGTGTAAAATTAGATCCAGACCTCATTTGCAGGGGGTGTGACTTGTCAGAATTTCACAGCTTTCTAGCTAGTTACAGTGGGTGAGTACTAAATGTCGGTTTTGCGAAGGCTGCTGTCAGCTCAGTAGTTTAAAAACAAAGAATAAATTTAAAAAAAAAAAAAAAACACAACACCAAAAACAACAGACCAACAACAAGTGTAGACTGCTGGTCTGGTGGTTTTGGAAAGCTGTAGTTTGAAAACTGTGTTTGATTGCAACTGCCACCTCCCCAATTGCGAGTGAGTGGCAAGTTGCACGTCTCTAGTGTGTTGCATTTGCGGAAGGGTCATGTCCGCGCAGCCTCCAGCTGAAGAGCTTACGTGGTGTTTAAATTCTAACGTATTTTTAGTTGCAGTCACATTGTGTATCTCCTGGTAAACACTTTAATAAAGGTCAGAAAAGGCCTCTAAGATAATAAAGTCCAACTGTTAACCCAGCACTGCCAGGTCTACCCAAAACCCTGTCCCTGAGCACCACATCTCTACGGATGGTGACTCCAGCACCACCCTGGGCAGCCCCTTCCAATGCCTGACAGCCCTTTCACTGCAGAAATTGTTCCTAATATTCAATCTGACCCTCCCCAGCACAACGTGAGACTGTTTCCTCTTGTCCCGTCACTTGGGAGAAGAGACTGACCCTCCCCTCTCTGCATCCTCCTCTCAGGGAGCTGTAGAGAGCGATCAGGTCTCCCCTGCGCCTCTTCTTCCCCAGGCTGAACACTCCCAGCTCCCTCAGCTGCTCTGCACAGGAATTCTGTTCCAGACCCTTCCCCAGCTCTGTTGCCCTTCTCTGGACACGCTCCAGCACCATAGCATCTTTCTTTCAGTGAGGGGTATAAAACTGAACACAGGATTTGAGGTGCAGCCTCACCAGTGCCCAGTACAGGGTACGATCACTTCCCATCTTTTATTAAAGATGCAACACCATCTCTGACTGAAGGAGTCCAGATAAATCTAGTTGTAAAACTTGCTTTGAGTTCTCTAGAACATCATAAAGCATTAAATACTTCACATTCTTAAATATGTGTGTGTATACAGCTGTCTTATAAAGAGGACTTCTTTATTAGATCTTAAATGAGGCTTTTGTAGGATGTTTGTAAACTTTCTTAAGAACTTCCTTTTCAGCGGCTAGAAAGCTCTCATGGCTCTTTACAGGTTTATAATGAAGGTGGTTTTGTTAGTCAACTTGCCTTAGCTCATTTTGAGCGATAGGAGTGACTTTTTTTTTCCTTGATTAAATTTAAAAGTTTATTTTCTGCTTGTAAATGAAACTTGAAAGCCATGTTTTTAATTTAAACTCACTCGAAGTTTTGGACAGCAATGGCAGGACTTTCTGGTTTTCATGAAGTTTGCTTTTAAGCCCAAAGATTTGATGATTTTTTTTTTTTAACTTCTGAACTTATGCCATCACTTGCATTTCCCTGATGACAACGTCTAGAGAGGCTGAGGATGCAGCTCTGATCATAGCCCTGCACCATTCTGTGAGTGCACATGTGGTGATGAGGGTTTCCTTGGTGAGTGGCAGCCCTCCTGCCAGCCTTCGTGTGCTTTGCTTACTGGGAGCGAGCGGTCAAGCGTATGTAAATGGGAGTGAGTAGCCTGAAAAGGTCTGAACACCAATTTGTTGACGCAAGATATTGCATAAGAGAAATGGGTTATCTCATCTTGAGTAGGTTTATGCTACTCCAGTGTTGTAGAGCTAAAGCTCAGGACACCTTTTCTCTGCTCGTCAGTAAATGTGCCGAGGGTTTCCAGGAGTAAATCCATGCCTGTCCTGCAGGGTGTCAGCATCGTGGTGGGGACAGACAAGCTGGTTGTGGCTGTGAAGAGAGGCGTATGAAAAAGTCAGGTGTTAGATCAGAGATGAGAATTGCTGAATGCACAAGTGAAGTGTTAATTTCTGAGGCTCACGGTGAGCCTGAGCACTGGGGTAGGGTCAACATAAAGCCGTGTGCAGATGAGAAGAGGAACTGAAGGCAGCAGGTCAAGCATGCACGAACCATGCTACAAAACCCAGGCATGAGCTGGAGGCAGGGCAGAAAGTTGGGGCTTCATCCTGTGGTTCCCCTTCTAGAGCTGCTCATCACGTTCCTGAACACACTCTCTCTAAGCTGCACCAAAGTGGATAAGAATCATTTCAATTAGCCTGTTAAGTGTTGAAACTTCCCGCAGCAGAGCTCCTGTTCCCTGCAAACCCGAGTGCTGTCTCGTGGCTGTATAACCCCCAAAGCTGGAGTTAACTCAGTTTTTGCAAGACCATCTGCCAGCTTGTTTTAGATGAGCACAGCTGAGTGCTGTGCACCGAGTTGCCAGTGGAAGACTTTTTTCATTTTGTGCCTAGACAAGTTGATTTTTATAAACCCCATTTATTTATTTTATTTATTTTTTTAAGGGGGGAGGGAGGTATTGCTGGTGATGTTCTTGTCCATCTGAAGCATCACTTCTGGAGATTCAAATTTCCTTGCCTCTGGTACCTTTCCTTCACGCAGGCGGTTGGTGATGATTCCACATTTGGTACATGTGAAGAAAGGCTGAGAGAGTTGGGCTTGTTCAGCCTGGAGCAGAGAAGGCTCCAGGGACACCTTATAGCCCCTTCCAGTGCCTGGGAGGCTACAAGAAAGCTGAGGGGGACTTTTTACAAGGGCCTGGAGTGACAGGACAAGGGGTAATGGGTTTAAATTGAAAGCAGGGAGGTTTAGATTGGATGTAGGGAAGAAATTCTTCTTGGAGAGGATGAGGAGGCACTGGGGCAGGTGGCCCAGAGAAGCGGTGGATGCTCCGTCCCTGGAAGTGTTCAAGGCCAGGCTGGATGAGGCTTGGAGCAACCTGGTCTAGGGGAAGGTGTCCCTGCCCATGGCAGGGGGGTTGGAACTAGATGGTCTTTAAGGTCCCTTCCAACCCAAACCATTCTATGAGTCTATGTACAGCAGCAGACACTTAAAAGCTGGGAATGAAAGTGGCTTGTGGTAATTATCACAAAATTAAAGATAATCTGCTGCCCTGGAATTGTGACAAAGTGCAGAAAAGAGATTAGTGCAGTAGGAGAGTGGTCCCAGCCTTAGGAAGGAGACCATAGCCTCCCCAGCCTGGGGCCCTCTTGGCTGCATTGTGTTCCCAGCAATTTCCAGTGTTCGACCTGGAGCAGCATTTGCTGCTTTGGGTTCCTCTGCGGTCCGGAGTTGCTGCTCCAGCTCGTGCCCTGCATGTTTATGAGCCAAATGCTCACTCAGGGCCGTAACGCCTGGCCAGAGCAGGATGTTTTGTGGAACAATCATAGAATTATCATATTTTAAGGGAACTAACTGTTCAGCACAAAACCCATGTGGTGTTTGAGCTCGTGGTGCCCTCTGAGCTGGGCGCTGGTGCTGTCCCAAAGAGCTGGAGGGAGGAGGTTTCATTTGGCCGGTTGTGAGCCCAGGTGGGTGATGGAGGGGAGCTGCCTGCACTGGTGAGAGCATTCTGCTCGGCTTGCCTCCTCTCCTTCTGTTTGAGATGGGACTGCGTGATGCAGCTCACACGGAGTGAGCGAGATTTTAAACCTTGGCGGCAGTCCTGTGGGTCTGTTCTTGATGCAGTCCTGGGCACTGGAGAGCACAGTTCAAAGCAGCACAAGCGAATCTTCCTGTGCCTCCTGGGCTTTGCAAACGTGGGCCAAGCTTTCGGGTTGCATTGCAGACAGCTCAAAATGCCGCATTGACAAGACCTGTTTTGCACCAGGGGATCCCCAGTTTGCCAAGACCAGGATGGTGAGATACCCTCAGCGCTTCCGAGGGCAGTTTCACCTCCACTGTGACCACAAGGGTGCTTTTGTCGGGTTTGTTGGTGGGTTTTTTTTCCCCAGTGTCTGAAATATTTCCTGAAATACAGCTGGGTGATGTGCTCTCCTGGCGCTGTTGCCATCTGCAGGGCATTGTGCTCCTGCTATGCCCAACTTCTTGCTCAGGGTTCTTTTCTAACAAGCCCTGAACCATCGCTGCTTTTATTTGAGGAGGTTGAGCAGTTACCCCAGCTAAACCATCGTAGTTACTCCTAGGCCGAAGGTGGGAGATGCTGAAGGAGCTGCATGTTGGGTTGGATCAGCTGAGGCTTTTCCTGAAGTCCAGCTGGGAGAGCCCCCCCCGCCGCCCAGCTTGAGTGCAGATACCCTTGAGTCGGAGGATTTGCGCACCAGCAGACAGTTGGGTACTCCACCTATTGCCCTCAAGCAGGGAAGAGTTGAGGGCTTGGAAGACCCTTCCACAGCCAAAACTCTGAAGCTCTGCTTGATGGCCTCTTGCAAAATTAAGGCCTTTCTGAAGGACTGCAGGTTGCTTAACAGTCTGTGCTTGTCTGAGCACTTCAGAGAGGAGCTGGGAGCAGCAGACACGTACCTGGAAGCAGCTGGCCCTACATCTGTCACTCTGCATTCTGTGCAAGTGGGCTTCTCCCCTAATGACTGGGCTCCGCATGCGGCAGTGGTTGAGGAGCTGACTTGGCTGCTGGGGTGGGGTGGGGAGCTCTTAAGCAGCCCTTGATCCTTGTTCGTGGTGTCGGCTGTGCTGGAGCTTGTGCTCCCGCACACAAGACTCAGCAGGTCAGCGAACGCCTCGTGGGGCTGGTGGCAGAGGAGCCTGTTCTCACTGTTGCCTGAAAATGGGGTGCCCCTTGCAAACTTGGGCTCATGCTTGGAAATGGAAAGGCGGTGTGCTGGTTTTAGTTGGGACCGAGTTAATTTTCTCTCATGTGAGAGGAGGATTTGAGCCCGTGATTCCAACTGATTATATATCTGAAAGCTTTAGGCAAAATCCTAATTTTTCACTGTTCAGTGTAATGGAGTAACAGTGGCTTCTCCCAAAGGCAGTGGTAGAGATAAATGATGCATTCATTTTTGCAATATATTTGAACATCAGGTTCTATAAATAGATTCAATTATCAATATAGTTTGTCAAGTGCCTTCTGAGTAGCTGGAAAGCAGCTTCATAAGTGTCTCTCTGCGCTTCTGTACGTAACAGACTCTTCAGTGTAGTGTGGACCTATTACTTATGGTACAGCAAGGATTTACAAGAACTCTCTACTGAAACCTCTTAAGAAACATTATTGCTAGGAAAAATTGTACATCTTTGCTTCTGAATATGAAATTATTTGGATGACCCCTGTAACTTCAGACTCCTGCACTGATGAAACAAAACCAAGCAAACCCAGCTACTTTAAAGGCTCTCAAGCTTGGTTGAAAGAGCAAAGCATTAGGTTATTTTCTTGGGTTTTTGTTGGGGTTTTTTTTGTTGGGGTTTTGGTTTTTCTTTTTCCTGATGTCCCTACTTTTACTGATGCTCTTCCCTTCTCTCCTCAGGTCTGGCACAGAAGAAGGCAGCCATCACTGAGGTAAGAGGTATAATACTGGCCTTGAAAATCCTATGTTAAGAAATGAGAATACAGACCCCTCTAGAAGACACTTCTGCCTGATGTTTTTTGAGCAAAGCTGGATTTCAGAATACATTTCAGATTACTGAACACTTGATATCTATTACTGAGAGAAAGAAAATTAGTGGCAGGTCTCTGAAGTCCCTGTGTTGGCATCACCACAGGTACAGAGGGGATGTGAAGAGATTATGCCCACCACATGGTCGATTTTAGCTGCATGTTCCATGATGTCTGTAAGAAAGTGGCTGAGGGCATCTCTTCCACACCAGAACCAGGTGATAAATGGAACCATGTATTGGGCATCTCCAGGGCTCCGTGTTGGATCACACCCACTCCTGGGAGTGTGTCAAAGAGGCTGTAATTTGTGAAGCTGTAAAATGGGGACTGATCTTCTCTCACACATAATCCAGGTCACAGGTTGCTGAATCACTGTTACCTTCTGGAGCAAAACTATTAACAGTTGGCAGCAGGGAATATAGTAGGAGGATCTGTGCCTGAAAGCTGTTCTCTGAAGCCCACACTCTTGGTTTGGGGCACCATGTTTAAATGATTTTTATCTAATTTTCTGACATACCCCTTTAGATTACTCACCTGGAATGATGAGCATTTGTATACATGAATAGCAAAATCTTCCCATAATACTGCCAAGAATGTGAAACTTTATTTTTTGCCTCCCCAGAAATATATGGAGTAGGAAACTTGAAAGTTGATTGTTTTGTTCAATGCACAAATAGCCCCACTTTTTCTTGACCTGGAAGCACAGTCACAGGTAGAGCGAGGGACTGTGGAAGAGACTTTCGTTACTGCATTTCATATGATGGCAATCCCTTAACCAGTACCTGCATCTGTTAATCGCTTTGAGAGGATGATGATGAGCCACGTGGCGAGGCAGGACGATACAGCTTGAGCTTGCATGTAATGGGATACAGCTTGTTGGTTTGAAGCTGCAGGGAAAGGATAAGCTGTATTGCTGATCATGACTGCTTGGAGAAGCAGTACTCAGAAGCAAGCCTGGCTGTGCTAAATCTTTAAAACAGAGTAGGGAATAAGATTTTTGAAGGAGAAATCAGACTGCCCCTTAGTACCAGAAGTACAAAGAGTTTGACCTAAAATAGCTGCAAACTCTTGATTAAAAACTAAAACACAAAACTTCTGTAGTCTGAACAAAATTATGCACTGTCTGCCATAGACATCAGTTTTGAGGGATGGCTCTTGGCAGCACTTGAGATGGGGTTATAATATTGTCACTTGGGAAGTGACCTTGGATCTCTCTGCATGCTGCTTAAAGCAACAGCCAAAGGCTGGCCGATAATGTAACAAACCCCCAGATGTTGCTGGTGGCTCACCAGTAGTTTTAGCCATCTGCTGGGCTCCACAATCTGCTGGGGAGAAGGTGAAACATTGCCCTGTGATGGAGTATAGAGGCCCTAGGTTTGGGCTTGCGAAAGCAGCCATAAAAGGAACTTCAGGAAATGTGATTGCGTTGGCTTGTTAAAGGGTACAGCCACAGTCCGCTCCCTCCTGGACTGGCAAAAAAGGCCCAGGTAGAAGAGAAGGAAAATGGGAGAGGAGTAGGTTTGCTCTCCCTCTGAAGGTCTGGCAGTCCTATAGTGCTTCTGCAAACTATTTGCAAAACTTCAGGAAGAGCTGTTACTGCAGTTCACACCGTGTGGGCTTTGAATTGTAAACAAATGAGATCTCGCTTAAATGGATTATTTCCATGTGAACACAGGAGTGGGGTTGTCCTTGTTACCTGTCTCTTATTTCTCCAGTGAAGTGAGGTATTGGTATGACACCTGAGGGCATAAGAGTTATAAGAATAAACTTCTCTTGCTGTTCAGTACATAGAATCGCACAATGGTTTGTGTTGGAAGGGACCTTAATGCCCATCCAGTCCCACCCCTGCCC